ATCTTCCAGTTCGCGGGGCTGCCCTTGCCGGCTTCTTCCCCCAGCCCAGGACCGCGGGCCCTCCTCTTTGGCCCGTTTTCTTCCCGTGATGATGAGGCACCTGGCTCTGCCCTTCTCTCCCGCTTTTGTTACGAGCTGTTGTGAATAAAATAAAATAAAAACGTGTTCTTCTTTCCAGGCCTGTGCTCCCTTGTGTGAGTAGTGGAGCAGAATGGGATGTCACCCAGATCCCACCAGTGGCACAGGGAGAGGCGCTGGGACACTCCCGGTGCCCAGGGCTGAAGTGGATATACGAGCATTGGCAGTGCAGGGATAGCTCAGGCTGTGGAGACGCTTGGCTTAGGACATGGCACCTTAAAATACAGGAGCTGGAGGCTGCAGCCCAACGTTCCACTGTGGTGACTGAGCCTGTGTGGGAAGCATGGGCCAGGCTGGTGCTTTTTTGGGGGGCAGGAAACGCTGGGGTGCAGTGGCTGTCCCCATGCTCACTCTGCCTGGGTAAGGGCCAGCTTTGAGTCTTGCTACACGTTTACATGCCTCCACCATCACCTTCTCAGCTGCTGTACCAAGGCCTCCATCAGCTCCGTGGGAGTGTTGTTTGCGCATACGGCGCAGACTTTTTCCTCGTCTCTGACTCCAGCTATTTCTTCCAGTGTCATCAGACCACTCCTTCCACTTACCAGTGCTATCCTGATGAGAAGGGCCCAAAGTCAGAGGACAGCCCCTGGCTCTTAACTGGACCATGAGGCATCAGTCAGAGTTGGAGGAGACAGGAATGAAAATCAGGCCTAAAACCTGCATGTTTTCCAGGATGGTATGCTACAAGGTGCAGGAGAGGAAAAGGGGAGCAAAGCAAGGTGATAGGAGGGCTGATAGGTCTCTTCACCACATCCAGCTCTAATTCTCACACCTGAGAGGGGAGAGTCAAAAGTAGCTATTCACATCCCCTTGGGATATGACACCCTCATTTTCCATGCTGGGTAAAGACAAAAACCCTTTACAACATGTTTCTGGAATTTGTCAGCGGCTGCCAGCAGCAGCATGTTAATTAAATGTCGGCAAAGATGGAAGCAAGAGTCTCTGCTCTAATTGGACACTTTGCTTGGTGGAGCTGAAAAACATTGTGACAGAGGAGGAGGTGCCGAAACGCTGTGTTCCCCCACCATGGCGTGGCAATGGGGACAGGCAGGCAGAGGAGATGCTCTCTTCTGAACCAGCATTGCCTCTGTTTGGCCTGAGACAACCTTGCCACTGAAAAAAAGAAGAGTAACATAATAAAAAAAGGCCTAAAATCCTTCATAGGCAAAGTCTCAAGCATGGCAGTGGTGTGAGATGCAAGGAAAGGGCTTGTTGTTTAAGGGGAAATTAAAAAATACTGTGCCTGGGCTGTCAGGAGCTCTAGCCCTCTTGCCAGCTGGTGGTATATTGTATATTTTTTAATGCTAGCAAAGGGAGATGTCTGACAGGGGTTAGAAATGGTCTCCAGAGAATGATCCTGGCAGAGGCTGAGTGTGCATTGAGCTTCACCGCTTCCCCTGGGCAGGGATGGGAAAATGGGGGGGGCAATTCCTTGTTTCCTTGTGCTGAGATCTGCTGAAGGAAAGAGATCTCTTCCCAGCCTCTTTGCACTGGGGAAAGGATGTAACAGCCATTTTCTGTTCACAGCTTCATCCACAGAGCCTGTCAGAAACCATCACAGAGGCATTTACTGACAGGCGCTGCAGCCAATCTCATTTCAAAAGTAGGGTCCTAAACTTTTTTGCCCCAAGTCTTCAAAACCACCTGAAAGCAAAAGCAGACCTCTTGGGCACTGCACTGGACCAGTGCCCTCTGTCCCACCCAGTATGAGCTCTGGCCATGTCCCATATAAGCCAGCAACCAGTACTGTGTCCAGCCCCCGTGGCCTCTGGTCTGGTCCCAGAAGCTTGCAAGGGGCCGTGGGGGTCGGTAATGGCAAAGACTGAGTGACCCTGATTGCTTTAGCAAGGTGGCCAGCCCATGTGGCCAGCCCATGTCTCCAGTGGGGCAGGTCTGTGAACACCAGGAGATGATCCTACCCCATATGCTTTTGCCAGCAGAAGGAGCCCCGACCCCATTCCCTGTCCCTCTGGGTTCTACCTCCTCCTCGTGGGAAGACACCTAAATTGCCCAGGCTGCTGGGCAGTGAAGCGTTTTATTGCCCGTGCTCTTGCAGGGCTCAGTCTGGTCTCAGTACCTAAATCACTCACTGGGGCTGGCCTTGCACTTTTAATTCCCTGGCAAACAATGGCGGGGTCGGGCTGGCGCGTTTGAAGTGCAGTCGCGGCCCCAGCGGTGGACGGAGGGTTTCTCAATGGGGGAGCGCAGGGAGTAGAGGATTGGGCTGCTCCGGCAGGCGGGAGGACGTGTGAGAAAGGGGCTGTCGATACCCGCGGGGATTAGGTGGTACAAATTGGCTGGGAAGCACCGGAGGCATTGACCAAAGTTGTCCTGGGGCAGGTTCCCATGGGGGGGCTGGCTGAAACAACTCCTTCAAGGAGGCTGGAAGGCCCAGCCTGGCTGCTAATCCCCTGGGATCTATGGAGCACAGAGCAGAAAAGAGGTTAAATAAAAAAAGGAAAACCTCGTGTAAAGGTGGTGGTTTCCCCAAGGGGATGATGTTAGAGCGGGAAGGGGGTGGGGGGTGGGGGGAACAGCATCGTTTAATCCCTCTTTTAATAGGCAGGTGGTGGGCTTTGCTCACCCTCCCGCTCCTGCGAGCTGCTGCAGGGATTTCGGGAAAAGGCTTTTGCTCACCTCAGCTGTCCATAACTCCCAGTGGGGACCCCCATGTCTCTGCAGAGCATCCCCATCTGCAGGTCTGCCTGGTAGAAGGAGGGTGTCACATGCTTATGTCTATGTCCATGTGTGTGTTGGTGTGCACGGGCACAGGCACATGGTGCAAACCCCAGATTTGAGCAGAAATGGGCTTGTTGCACGCCCAAGGCACTGGCCATGGCAGATCTCCTGCTGGCCATATTGCCCATGAATGCAAAGTCCTGTGTCCCCGCAAACGTGCCCTCAGCCTTCTTGACCACGGGCAATCATCACACACTGAAACCACGTTATCTACGTTGCCCGCGGTGTCAGCATGCCCTCGCACACGTGTCCCACGCTGCCAGCAGCCGCATCGATGTGCACATCCCTCTGCCTTTGCCGTGCACGTCCATCTACCTTTGCGCTGGTGCGAGTGCATGTGTGTCAGACCCGGCATGTCCACACTTGCGTGAGCGCCGCTCCAGCCCCTTCTGAAGGAGCGCAGTAAATTGTAATCAGATTAGGGCAGCCGGTCGCTTAGGGCCCTTGAAAAGGGCATACGTCCCCTCATCAGTACCTAGCATTGAGTCGCACAAAGGGTCTAAGTAACTCGGCAGGGGTCGGGCCCTCTGGAGCGCAGGGGAGGGGGCTCGCCTTTCTTTTCTCTCTGTCCCTTGTAATTATGTCAATTTGCTAGCCAAATTGTTTGCTTGAGTGGACAGGGGGGGCTTGCCCCCCTTCCCGCCTCCCCCCCACCCCTAACCCCATTCATGTGCTAATGTGGGAAGGAGCATGGCCTCCTGACTTCGGGAGGTGGCCGTCAAGGAGCACAGCACAGGGGGGCACAGGCTGGAAGCCCCCCATCTACGTGCCCATGGATGCCTTGGCCGTGCAGCCCAGATGAACAGGGCACTCCTGTTTGTTTTAGCCTATGGTGGGGTGTGCAATGCCCAGTCAGCCCCGGCCAGCCCTGGTTTGCTCCAGCCGTGCCTCACCTGCACTGTATCCGAGCTTGGGCCAACGCATGCCCAAGGCCACGAGCCATGCCCTGCCGTGCAGCGTCTTTTTCGGCACACCTCCCCGCCCGCGCACCTCCTAGCATTTGCATATATTCTGCCCGCAAATCCTTGTCAAGGGGAGCTCTTTATTGCCTGTATAGATCACAGGGTGTTAGTTAAGGGGCTTCTTTGTATTGCCTCAGACAGCTGGGGTCATCAAAAGTCCTGCGGTGGGAAGGAGAGACAGGAGGAGGGGGGAAGCTCTGACAATACGGACTGAAGGATTAAAGGAGCATATAAAGTTCCTATTGAGTGAGACAAGAGGCTGTTCACTCCCAAGATTGACAGCAACCAGGAGGCGATTCCCAACACAATGTCCAAGGCGATTCCCAACACAATGTCCAATTAATTCTCTACCCTCTTCGCTGCCGTCTCCTCCCTCCCTCCTCTCCTGGGCTGGGGCATGAGCAGGGAAGGGCTGAAGCTAAGATCCTCAAGAAGGTAATTAATTATTCCTGACTAAGAGGAGCCTGCCGGGGTGCGGGCCAGTCCCCAGGCTCGCTGGGCATCCATCCCCCTCCACAGGCTCCCATCAGCTTGGGCCACTTCAGGGTAGTTTTCCTTTCCATCACAGGCAGAACTGTCCCACCAAGGGTCCATCTCCACAGCAGGTCCTGCACCATAACTGTGGTTAGAGATGAGCCCAAAAGAGGTAGATTTCAGGCTAAAGCCAGGCTGGAAGCAGCAGCAAGAGAGCTGGGGAGCAGGGAGCAGTGCGTGGGCAAGATGTATGGGCATGCAGAGCATTTGGAGAGAAGCAGCATATGCCAGGCCTACAGATCAGGTCTCACCCATGTGTGCAGTGGCAATGGTTAAAGCAGTTCTGTCTATCCTGGTTTTGTAGGGAGAAGTGGGCTCCTGGCCATAAGGATGCATTGCCACTGTCCCCTGGGCTCCCAACC